CTAAACAAGTCTATGTCGCTGAAGCAGGTAAATGCTATTAAAGCTTGTTAACGAACCATCAAAGCTAATTAGTTGATATAGATGATCAACTTTTATTATCGATTGAGCTAGTAACTTATGTGAACTAATAGATATAACACTACGATAATATATGTGACCATTAATCAAAGGACTATTAGAATACTGGGTTTACAAAAATAAAAACCGATTGAGAAGGTTAAGGTGGAAATAAGGATTAACAATAAGAGGTTGCGTTTCTTTAGTTGGGCTCACCAATGTAGAATTATGGTCTACTATGATATTAGTACTGCTCTAATAATAGACCTAATCCTAAATTTGTAGATTTGTCATGATATAACTGCCTAATCTATAAGATCTTACGTGGAAGTCACACCATCGACTACACCAACTCACTGTATCGCATCAATTACCAATACATGATGTAGAACAAGGTTAGGCTAGAGAAAGAACAATATATTTAATATGAATAGAAGATATAAGGTAACATTCAGCAGAGACCACGCCTGCATGGCCGAGCCATGCCACTCGATCAACTCCAGCCCATTCAATTCATTGTTCGCGCCTTCTTCATTGTTAGGTATTTATCCGCGTTAAATATTGAATATCTATTTTCTGAGTAGTCTCGTGTTCAGCTTTGTGGATTGTGCGGTTATTGTTCAATGCCACTACAAAATATCGACCCGTGGGTCTAACCAGCGTGATCGTTAAAATTTTCGGAAAGTTTATTTGTAAGACGCTTCCCAGGTATCTGGAAGAAAACCGGGCTTTTTCTGTGAAGCAGCAACAACTTAAAGTAGTCCAACTATGAAATTTTATCTAGTGGAATGCTTCAGGGTTTAGTTTTGGAGTTAGAGTTTTTCCTCCTCTGTGTAAATGACCTTCATAGTCTCCTACCATCAGTTTTGCTATATGTTGATGATATAAAGATTTGGGGGGCGATGAAAAGTAAAGGTGATTGTTTGAATCTTCGAAATAACCTGTAGAAATTATCCGGATGATCCAAACTTTTGCAGTTGCCGATAAATGATTCCAAGTGCATTACGACGCAAACTGATCACCAAGGTACATATACATAGACAGTGAATAAAATTGGGTTACCTGTAGTCCAAACATAAAATGATCTAGGAGTCATCGCGAGCCAAGACTTAAAACTAATGTGCACTACCGTGCAGTAGCCTCCAACGACTTTAAAGCTGTATGTTTAATACGTGGAGCCTCTAACCATATCGATGAAAAAACGCTTTTGACTTTCTCTACAGTATTCCTTCGTCCTTAAATCCGGTTTTCATGCACATGTAAATGAAGATAACTGGTGTAGCAAGAGCCTGTGCATCAGTAGGTCACGGATAACACGAACCCAATCATACTTGAAGTTAAAACTCTGAAAGGGGGAAAAACTTCACGTACCTGTTTAGCAAAATCATCGATGAACAAGGGGGATCTGATGAAGAAGTAAAGGTAATTATTAGCGAAACAAGAACAACATTCCCACAGTTGAAGAACATGTGAAACTAAAAACAACTGCCAACCAATATCGAAGAAAGAATCTTCATTACGAACGTCAAGACAGTTTTACTAAATGGGGCTGGAACTTGGTGTAGGGCCAGTGAAATTCCACTGAGACCTAACCAAATCATCCGGCAGTTGGGTCATTGAATGTCGAACAAATCATCGATCCCCGTCAAGGTCAAGGACAATCAACGCGCACCAGGGAATCGTACGCCATGGACTGGCCCATGCGGTAGTGATCTCGCCTTCGCTTGTATCTACTTTAAACAGTATATTTCCGTAATAACGTCCTCTGTGTTGTACCTTGATACGTCAATGGGGCAGTCCACGTAAGGTGCTAACCATGATGTGTGACTTCGATGTTAGCTGGTTCGTCACACAAGTCCCGTCTCAATCAAGTAGGTCTCCGATCATTCGACATAAACCAGCTTCCATCTGACGAGGAAATTAGAAAGTGACGCTGGATGTGAATGGGAAATACATTGTGGATATCATCAAATTGCACTATGAGACAAGCCCTAACCTGTAATCCTGAAAAGGAAAGGAAGAAGACTAAAGAACACATTGTGCAGGGAGTTTGAGCCAGACATGAAAAGGATGAATAGCAACTGGAAATAGGTGGGAAGGATTGTCCAGGACTAAGTTGGATGGAGAATGCTGGTGGTCAGCCTGTGCTCCTCCACGAGGGGTAGCAGGCGCAAGTAAGTATACTGTGGACACTGTGACCATTGAAGAATTCGATGTCTTCGGTCTACTGGACAAAATTATATACCCTCACTTTTCTCGTCTTCTGAAACAGGGCATTTATGAGGGCACTCACAAATGTTCGCAAACCAAGAGCAAACGATTTTTCAGCTGACTACCAACTTTCTCGTTGAATCATCAGCAAGTGGAATTTATTACACCAACATGTGCCAGCTCTACATGACTATCTACAACAGGTGGTTTGGGATGTTCACCCTCAACTTGATGTGGATGGTCATTGGGACTTCTTACTGCACACGCTCTTATGTGCTACAGACCATTCAGTTCCTCAAACGGTTCCCAAAAGCTGCAAGCCACCTACAGTAATCAAGAACCGTACCCTTCGCCTGCTAAGCCGCAAACGGCACTGTTGGGCAGAATACAAACGAACTAATAACGATGGAGCGTATAGGCAATACAAACATATCAGGAACATATGCACGAAGGCTATAAGAGAAGACAGGCTTCAGTACCAAACAAAGCTTATGGACAAATTCGCCTCTAACCCTAGAAGCCTATTCCGTTATGCAGCCTCTCTTCGTCAAGCCAAAACAGGAGTTTCTCAACTGCTAGGTCTTAACGGCCCGACCAACAACGATGGCGACGCCGCTAACCTTCTGGCGGCACATTACTCTCAAACATTTCAACCGGCTGACATCAACTTTATTGACGACAGTTTCATCTGCAATTCCACAGGACTTTCTGAAGTGGACCTAAGCGCTGACTTGGTGTTCCGGAAATTGCAGCACTTAAGACTTGACACTTCTCCTGGCCCGAATATGGTTCATCCTGCCATACTGAGGGAGGCAGCCTCAATCCTGGCAACGCCGCTTAGCGTGATGTTTTCACACTCGCTTAGCCGAGGCAAATTACCGGAAAATTGGAAGTTGGCTCACATCACACCAATTTTCAAAGGTGGTCGACGCAATGAACCTTCAAGTTATCGGCCGGTGGCTCTTCTGTCATTACCTTCAAAACTCATGGAGTCCCTGATATGCGACGGTTTAAATGACTATCTACTGTCCTTAAATTTCTTCTCACCCCAACAGCATGGTTTCAGGAAGGGTTACTCTTGTATAACCAACCTGCTGACTCCGGTGGACAGATGGACAAGCATCCTCGATCGCAAGGGAAAGGTTGATGTCATTTACCTTGATTTCTCAAAAGCTTTTGATAAGGTTAACCACTTGTGTCTTATCAACAAGCTCAAACGACTAGGTATCAGACCACCTCTAATCGATTGGCTTACTTCATACCTAAAAAATCGACACTTTAAGGTTAGGGTTAATTTCACTTTATCTCAGGCTATGGAATGTCCTAGTGGAGTCCCCCAGGGCTCAGTACTAGGGCCTCTTCTCTTCTTGATCTACATAAATGATCTTCCTCAACAGGTAACGTCAGACTTACTACTTTTTGCCGACGACGTGAAACTTTGGAGAGAGATACGCAACCAAGACGATACACAGGCACTTCAGGAGGATCTGACGCGACTTCAAAGTTGGGCAGACGATAACGGACTTACCTTTAACACTTCAAAGTGTAAAGTAGTCCATCTGCGACATGTCGCAAACTACAGTTACAACTTAGGAAACTCCTCTCTAGTAGTATCCCAAGTCGAAAAAGATTTAGGAGTCCTGGTGCCCCATGACTTAAAGTCTTACGCTAACTGTGACAAAAATGCCTTCCGAGCAAACCTTGCACTGGTAACGTTGAGGCGCATTTTTGGCCAGTTTGACGAAAGAACTTTCCACACAATCTTCAATAGTTTCATCCGTCCCCATTTAGAGTACGGAAACATAGTACTCCCTCCCTCACTCCAAAAGGACAAGGTCACTTTGGAGCGTATCCAACGGCGAGCCACGAAATCAGTTCGAGGACTCAAATCTAAGCCTTACGAAGAACGCCTCCGTTCACTAGACCTTTACCCACTAGAATATAGGCGTCTTAGAGGTGATTTATTAATGGCTTATAGTATTCTTAACACTTCTGGACATCTTTCTAAACACCTACTTAAGCTTAGTTCGAATAATAACCTAAGGGGTAACACCCAGAATCTGGAAACACAACATAGCAAGACGGAATGTAGACACAACTTCTACTCCTTAAGAGTTGTCAAAAGCTGGAATTCGCTGCCGGCCGAGCTAGTCCAAGCGACTTCTCAGGAGTCCTTCAAGAGGCAACTTGACCTATTCTTAAGGACCAAGGACAGCATCACACTATGATTTACCAATTTCTTTTCCTCTTTTATTGTTAACATACCTAGGTTCCTGCCTGGAGGATTTCGTGATCCCCTGCTACTAGACACGGAAGCCTGTTAAGCGAAAGCTTCTTCTATTCCGTCCACAACCATTTGAACCATTTGAACCATTTGAACATATTTAGCATCATATCCAAATATGGACAAACTTACGTAAGTATGTAAGAAGCTGTATATCATAAACAAGTCTCAGTTTACACGTAAATGCATTAGTTAAACGGCGTTTTTTAGCTTTTCTGATGAATATTAGCCAAAAATATTCAAGCAATCACTTGGTAATATTGGTATTTCAAAAAAACGATACAAATAAATCATTAAGGCTATTCTGATAACAGAAAGACATATTTTTGGTGCAAATAACAGATATTTATTGCATAGTGAAATCGAAAAGTTGTTGATACTAATCATTTCTGATGCTGTTGTTTGAAGTTTCTCGTCTGTGGCGCTATTTCTGTATTGTCCGCAAAGTATGCGGGAATACAAGCTGGTTGTGCTTGGCAGTGGTGGGGTTGGGAAGAGTGCCCTTACTGTTCAGTTTGTGCAAGGGATTTTTGCTGAAAAGTATGATCCAACTATCGAAGACAGCTATCGGAAGCAGGTTGAAATTGATTCCCAACAATGCATGCTAGAGATTCTCGATACAGCTGGAACTGCAAGTCATTTTTTAAAGTGATATTTATCGTAAACTTATAGGAGCAATTCACAGCAATGAGGGATCTTTACATGAAAAATGGTCAGGGGTTTCTGTTAGTTTACTCCATCACATCACAGGCTACATTCACTGATCTCAACGATCTGAGAAAACAAATCCTTCGTGTCAAAGATGTTGACGAGTTTCCACTAGTTCTGGTTGGAAATAAATGTGATTTGGAAGATGAAAGAAGTGTGGGTACCGAACAGGGAAGAAACTTGGCAAATGAGTGGAAGTGTCATTTCGCAGAGACTAGTGCCAAGACTAAATCTAATGTAAATGAGGTGAGTATTTTACGTTGTTTCGTACATATTCAATCAAATTTAGTGTCATTATACACTCACATGCACTCCACTCAAATTGGAAATTCAGTTTTAATGTTGCGAGCTCTCTAGTATTTTTATTGGGACTCATTATCTCACGCCAGTCCGAATTTGGTCGTAGGTTTTTCGATTGTCCGATGTTTAGCAATGAAATAGTAAAAGAATTTAAAGTATTTCAATCAGACTCAAGCATTTTAAAGCTATGATTACCTCCTCATTCGGGATTTATTCCAAGTCGAACATTAAACATTTGTAGTGAAAGCCGCAAAAATGTATCCTAATTTAGACTAACGTGTCGTGTAAGTTAGTATGAGGTCCCACTCTGATTTTCATATGAGATAAACGTCTTTGACACAAATCAGTCATGATTACCACTGAACATACTTCACACTTTCGCTGCCTGACATGCACTTCTGAGTATAAAGTTTCTAAGTATAAGCACTTAGTTTTACGACGGTTAATAGAGTAAGCTTTATCAACGACTTTTGAGTGATTATTACGAGTCAAGAACGTCTAGAAGTATAGGTTTACCCGTTCTAACATATCGGTTTTCAGGTGTAGTAGCTTACAACCTAGCTGAGGGGGGTTATCACTTCTGACGCCATGTCTATATTGTTGATGGATTCTCGTAAACTCATCCCATCAGGCTCTGAACACGATGAAGAGCGACAACAAATCAGATCTAGGTTGACCACAAGTCTAAGAAACGACTGTGAGCAGTGGTGGGCAACGAAAGCAAGAGAGATGAAAAAGGTGGCGACTATAGGGAACACAAGACAGCTCTACAGACTAATAAAAGAAACTGGAATTAATAAGTCAAGTGTAAGTCAGACTACTTCGGAAAAAGACGACACCCTCATCTGCTCTCAGTCCGGACGTTTAGAACGATGGGTGGAACATTTCAGAGAACAGTTCAGCTACTCTACAACTACCCTCCATTCCCAGACAGTGTGAACAGAATACTGAAGTAGGTCCCCCAACTCTAGCAGAAGTTCAAAAGGCTATACCTAATCTGAAACGAGGAAGGGCAGCTGGTCCAGATGGATTGGCTCCAGAGGTCTTTAAGGATGGTGGTCCAATTTTAGCGATTAGGTTGACTAATATTTTAGCTAAGATCTGGGAGTTCGACGTTATTCCATCTGACAGGTGACAATCACTTATCGTCCCAATATATAAGAGAGGGTTAAAGTCATCCTGTGACAACCATAGAGGTATTAGTTTAACTAATATAGTATCTAAAATACTAGCCTCGATAATTATCAGACGCCTAAGACTCGTGAACTGCAAACACGAGACACTCAATCTGACTTCAGACTTGGTCGTGGCTGCATCGACCACATATTCACCATTCGTCAGGTTCTAGAACATAAGCATACTTATCGGCGTCCGACAATGGTGGTCTTTCTTGACTTAAAAGCAGCATTTGACTCGGTAGACCGCGAGATTCTGTGGCAGTGTCTGTCATTGAAAGGCGTACCCCAGAAGTACATAAACCTTGTGAAGTCTCTTTACTCGAACACTACTAGTCGAGTCAGAGCTTATGGTGAACTGTCATCTACTTTTGCAACCTCAAGTGGTGTCCGTCAAGGCTGTCCACTATCTCAATTTTTGTTGAACTTGATCATAGACCTACTGATGGAAATAACATTCTCGTCTACTGAATTCTCGGGTATTGATCTCCTAGGAGGTCCACTTATCGACTTAGAATACGCAGATGACATAGTCCTGTTTGGTGAAGAGGCTGACAAAATGCAGAGTCTTCTGGTAGCACTAAGTAACAATGCCAGAATGTTTGGGATGCGCTTCTCTCCCTCTAAATGCAAGTTGTTGCTTCAGGACTGGTCTCCGTCAACACCTGAACTAAGGATAGGGAGTGAAGTAGTTGAACGCGTTGACAACTTCACTTATCTTGGAAGTCTGATCAGCCCTAATGGGTTGGTGTCTGACGAAATCTCAGCACGGATTCGAAAAGCTCGTTTGGCTTTTGCCAACATACGTCACCTGTGGCAAAGGCGAGATATCCGTCTATCAATAAAAGGATGAGTATACTGCGCGGCAATCCTTTCTGTTTTACTTTACGGCAGCGAAACATGGCCATTAAGAGTAGAAGACACTCGTAAGTTACTAGTATTTGACCACAGATGCCTTAGAAATATTGCTGGCGTCTGCTGGGATCACCGGGTAAGTAATAGTGAGGTTAGGGGAAGGGTATTAGGGAATGATGTTAAATCAGTTGATGAGATTGTGAATCTTCATCGACTGAGATCGTTGGGCCACGTGTTACGTATGCCCGAACACCGATTACCACAACGTGCAATGCTAACCGTGTTCGGGATGGTTGGAAGGAAGTTAGGGGCGGCCAAATCAAAAAGTGGCATCAGTGCTTGAAGTCACTAACTTCTAGTCTGAGCCATGTTGGTAGATGCAGACTACTTGGTTGGGGTCCGCGTGACTGTCGTAACCAATGGTTGGAGACTCTTTGTGACATGGCTCAGAATCGATCACAATGGCGTCAGTGTATACACTCCCTGTCTTCCCTTAAACTAAGAGATTAAAATCGCTTCATATCTTTCTTTCTATGAACTAATTCTTTCTTCCTGTACTGTATCCTTATTGCAATCTTTCTTTCATATATTACCCCCTCCTTATTAACTATTTTTAGTTATCCGGGGTTCATTTTGTTGTGTTAATGAGGTATAGCAACTTGGACCGATGCATATATGTGCCTGGTCCTACGTTGTAGCTGACTGACTGACTATATTGTTAAACTAAATCTCTCCGTCAGCTAATCACACATCACTAGGTTAAAGTGATGCTGGAACCTTTCCAGGTCATTATTTCAGTCCCACAATAATGAGGACTTTCTAGTGAAGTACTACTTTATTTCGTTCTTCTGCTACTCTTTCTCTGAAGCAAAGTGGTAATCTATGAATCCTCACCACTAAGAACAGTATTTCCTGAGAACTACCTAAATACCACGACGAAGTCTTAAATCACATACAATCATGCCCATTTGCCACTGGTTACCGGTAAGTGCTCTGGTATAGCCAAGGGAGCGGAGAATTTGTTCTCACATGGCCACGTGCATACAACCATTGCCAGGGAAGTCCTCACTGCCTTCTCGCGACGGGGTGTTGCTTACGAAATTGAGAGGACGAAAAGCGGATGTCCGACGCTTTAACCGGGCTGTTGGGTACAGAAGATCCACCTAGAAGAGTTGGAAAACACTGATTCAAAACAAATGGTGAACATGGCCTGCAGTATCTTGAAGGAACTAGTGGCGTATGAACCTAATGTTGGTTACTGGCTAGCGTGGAACTGCGTCTCTTTGCGTTTCTCCACTGTCTTATGGATTAGACCTTTGGGTCAAAGGCTCGGGGTGTGACCCCCTAAGAAAACCACCCACTTCAGTTTGGGCACCTCGGCAGTGTCAGTTCATTCAACTCCATCAACGTCGGGCAAAAATGTTTTGCGGTTCCTGGACAATCACACGTAAAACAAGCTTCTTTAAGCAGCAGATGGAGAGCAAATTTGTAGTACTCCATTAATGTCTAGAATACGGGCCTCGTATAGACGACACGAATGGATGTTAAGACTTTCCAAAGACAGTCAGACTTATATGTTATCCTGTCTGCATTAGTGTGCGGACGTTATGGGAAGCCACGAATGGTGTACGAGTAGGTTGGATGTAAGCTAGGGGCGTTCAGATCAAAACACGGCACCAATCCATGAGGTCACTGACGAGTGGACCAAGCCATGTTGGTAGTTGTAGACTACCTGGTTGGAATCCGCGGGACGATGGCAACCGATGGTTAGAGATCTTGAATAAAATGGCTCAAAATCGTTTGCAATAGCTGAGGAGTGTCCACTATTTGTATTCACCTAAATTCTAATCTTCTGAATTCGTCATGTCCCTTTTTTTCTTGTTCCAAATTTATTTCCTTGACTAACATCTTCAAACGCTAATTTTTCCGATTACTGCTTGTACTTTTACTATATCTACCACTATGGGATTTGAATCGACAATTGTGCTAATGTGGTATGGCAACTCGAACTGATGTACGAAGTTCTACGTTGTTACCAACTGAGTGACTAACGTGGTCATCCACAGTGCTGTTAAGACCCTGACATGATTATTCGTTAATTTACTTCATTTGTTATTTTACTTGTAATCTCAGTTCGCTCTTGAGTACTTAACTATTCAGTCCATGGAGTTCCTTAAAATTAAATTCATTAGAGTTTATAGTAATTTCGAATGTTTTATTTTTCAGATATTTCACGATCTTGTTCGTCAAATTAATGCGAAGACACCCAATCCTGCATCGAAGTTGTCGAAGAAATCAAAATGCTGTTGTCTGTGAAATAGCAGTTTTGTATGCTTTTAATATCTTGTTATTTATTTTCGCGTCTATAAAATGACCAAGCTTCACTAACTTACATTCGAAAACGCATTATTAACTTTGTTCTGACTTCGTGTAGTAATTGTGCCCTTACTGTTTTTATTCGCTGGTCTCATTTTTTAAATTTAGTATATTACGTTGGCATTCTTTTGTCCCAGCCTCTCTGATGTTTCGTGTAGTTCTCACAAAGACAGTTTTGCTTCACTTGCCTGCTTCCTGATTGATGAAATCAAAACAGGTCATACCTAGTTCTGAAACATCCTAATCAATATATGCCGTTTAATTAGTAATATTTTAATGTTTTTAATCTTCATTTTTGTTTCTTTCGACTTCGGTGTCAGAATTTTTTGTAATTTTCACGCTTTCTGCCTTATACAAACTTCAGTTTTTTTAATTTCCAATGGTCCGATGTGGTGTGACATGATTATCCAGTTAGGATTGTGTATAGTTTTTAACTGTTTCTTTTATTAACTTTGTTTTATTATCACATGTATCGGTGATACCCTTTTGTTTTCTGATTTTACAATAATATACGCTTTCAGCGATCTCAATCATTTTTGGGAAATAAACTTACATTATATACAATATATGTTATACAACTTTCGTAAAACAACTGATTAAGAAATGACTGAATTTTTTAGGAAAAGTGGAACAAACGAAAAATATCTACAGTTTTGATTGACAATTACATGTGACAAATTAGGGTAGTGAGTTTTATTTTCCACATTTAATTCGATTTTGTGGGACTTGGTAATAAATCCCTTACATGGACTTGTGTAATGACTATCATGTGGTTTGGCACCAATTACGAATATATGGTTACATTCGTTGACTAATTTATTTGTATTTGTTATGACCATTAATCCAATAGCTTAGTTAAATCCTTGGCGTGGGAAATGTTACATTTTTCTTCATAAGTAAGATTCAATCAAATTATTGTTCTGGCCGTCTGAAATGGTCCCACACACATTAATTTAACACTGATCTATGGGTTTTCGTGCTAGATTGCAGGGTGTTAATTGAAGACTCCGACAATCCAGTTTAAGGCTCTTCGGTGTTACAGTAAATCATCTGTTCGCCACAACATTGAACAAGGTGAATAAAAGTAACTGAAGATAAAACCCTCAAATGCCCTGGTACGGCCGAGAGTGGGGAGAGTCAGCTCTTCCTCGAAATGCTCTCACATGGCCACGTGCATACAACCATTGCCAGGGAAGTCCTCACTGCCTTCTCGCGACGGGGTGTTGCTTACGAAATTGAGAGGACGAAAAGCGGATGTCCGACGCTTTAACCGGGCTGTTGGGTACAGAAGATCCACCTAGAAGAGTTGGAAAACACTGATTCAAAACAAATGGTGAACATGGCCTGCAGTATCTTGAAGGAACTAGTGGCGTATGAACCTAATGTTGGTTACTGGCTAGCGTGGAACTGCGTCTCTTTGCGTTTCTCCACTGTCTTATGGATTAGACCTTTGGGTCAAAGGCTCGGGGTGTGACCCCCTAAGAAAACCACCCACTTCAGTTTGGGCACCTCGGCAGTATCACATAAAGAATGGATGAAGTTTCTCTTTCTACTTAACGTAACCCAGCTGTAGAAGTTGGTTAGCTGGCCATTCCACGATTAGAAGAACATTTAACGCAGCTAAACTGTGAATAACCTTCAGTATCCATAAAAGATAAGCTCCCGCTTCTGGTCGCCTCTATGCGATCCCATTCCTTTGTTTATATATTTAATTATTGAAACTGAACTGGACATTACAAGTACAACGTAACAATAGTTCTTTCAAGTGTTCAGTCGGCAAACCTAGATCACCAAATGGTTAGCTGAAAAATTGGAACCTGTCAGAAGGCAAGTATCTAAATATTCTATTCATGATACCTTGCAATTTATTGATCGTATTAAGGACGTTAATACTTCCGGAAAACACATGTTCTCGCTTGACGTTAACTCTTTGTTCACCAACGTACCTTTAACGGAAACGATATGTTATATATGTGAGTATATTGATTTTAACAACATAGCTCTTACCATCCAGGAGCTTAAACCAGAAATATGCGTACAAAAGAAGTACGTCTTATCGTTACCTTGGCCTTAATTATTTTGATTATCCTATTATTATTATTATTACTGCATTCCCCCTCTACTTATGTCTTATATTCTCACTATTTTATTTGTAAATCCTCATCATATCACCTTATTTATTTCTACACCTCTATGACCTTTAATTATTATAGCAAAAACATTTTAATCATCTTATTATATTCACTAAATCTATTGTTATCATTCGTATTACGTAATCAAGTATTATAATCTTTCTATTACGTAATCTTGGTTAATTGTGTTCACATTTCCTCACGGAATTAGTACTTTTTCATATATATACGATTGTACAGCTTGATAATAAATTCGTTGAAAAGAGATCTCTTCGTTGAAGTTCGTGTTTTAATTTTAATGTTCTTGAAATGTTCGGTATTTCACTAACCCAAAAGGTTTGGTTGATTTCAAAACTGGTTAGTACGCAAAGACATAACGGTCATTTCCGCTCTTCATGATTGTAAGCACCTCTCTTACGGTTAATCTGCATACCTATTATACATGCAAACTGTGTCATCGTAAACTCTGGAATTAAGTCGACAGATTTCAGCACTCAAGAATACATTACTTTTACAGTAGTAAAATAAATATTATAACAAAGAACAGCCCCGTTATTATTATTTAAAAACCCAATTACAATGTATAGATACATCAGATATGATATTCTTTTAGGTGGATACCGATCAAAGTTTTTAGGAATTGAATACTAAATCGCTGACATGGGTGATGAAACTATAGGTAGAAGGCATATTGATCAAACATGATTTTTCGAATCTGGTCATATTACATATAAAGGAAATGTAATAGCTCCAAGAATTCTTAAATTCCTTCAACTTGAAAAGACAAAACTGGAAAAAAGACGCGAATAAAACCCACCTAAAAGCTCATAAAAAACTCAACAGAACACGTGGTTTGACGAGGAAACTCAGTAAGTTATCCTAAATGTATTCACTGATCACGAAATTTGTCGTGCTGCTTCCGACCACTTTTCCGCTCATTTAGTGAGTGAGTGTTATGTACTGGAGCGATTCACATTGAAGATTTCATATCAAGAGTCTGGAATAATTCATAGCTGTCTGGTATTGATGTGAACAGGGAAACAAGAAGCCCTAACAAATTACGAAAGCTATTTTTCGGGACGTTATTTCATTTTATTCAAAGCTTGTAAAACACTGACATTTATTTTTGTCCCTATTTTATTCTACAGAACATGAGCTTTCATTCGATGTATCATTCATTGCCATACCCCTTTTTGTTCCGAAACTATTGTAATTTAAACATAATATTTTGCACCTTATTTTCTACTCTAATTCCCAATTTTGGACATAATTGTATTTTCCCAAATTATGGAAAACATTTATTGCACGGCCATTTTTGTATTTTTTTTTCGAGTGAAATTTTTTTTCGTCCCTTTGAAAAAATTTTTCAGCCCCATCTTCCAATAATTTTCATTCTGTTTCGTCCAATCAAATAACTAGTTTTGAGTTCGTTATAATTGGTCGTTTATTTCTTCAAATCGATATAAAAATATCAGGACATGACAACAGAGCACATTTTCTTACAATTATGGACGGTGGTAACATGCAAAACGCGAGCTCTGTCGTTCCTCACGTTGTCACAGAAACCGATAACCTGTTCGTTCTTGAGCACATTGTATGTCGTAACGTCTCAATCACTTGACGAGCTCCATAAGAACTTATGAAACAGCTGCGTACTGCCATTATGTGGTGAGGGATTCTCATTTACATAGAGATCGGAAGCCGTATATTAGATTCGTATGTTGGAGAAATGGTCGTAGAACATCTAGCGGTTCTTCACAGCCGAGTAAACGAACGAGGTAATTTAATTAGTGTTATTATCATTTTTCATTAAGGACTACCGTGAACACTCAATGTCCTTCCTTCGTATTTTGTAAGTTACCAACTGTCAAAATAATGTCGATATGGATGCAACGTTGAGGAATGACGAGGAAGAAATTGTTTCGATTAGCTCAGAGGAGTTCACTGAACGAGACGACGACAATGACGAAGACGCGTATGACAACAGACTTTATGATATTTGCAATCTTGCGCAACCGCCACATGAAACTGCTGATGGAAGTACCTGGGTTTTTTGTCCATGCGAAGCAATGCTTCATTTATTTTGTGCCTACGACCCATCAACACACGTCCATGGAATCCACTGTCCCATGTACGGAGCTATAATGGAATAATAGCAACGCCTTTGTTCATGAAACTCGGAACTGTTAAGAGAACGAGTAAAGGCCCTTTTCAGGGCCACCCACAATTTGATTTAAATTCTTTTGTTTCGATTCCTTATTTCCATAGCAAAGATCAAGTGATCAAACCATCAAAATCCATTTAAGATTAATAGTCATTATGTGATTAGCACCTACGTATTCGTAAACGCTTTTTAAGCATTGTCAAATATACGGTTTAAGTAAACGATTTCGCATAAGAAATGTCATCTAATGAACACTAATCTGTCTAACAATAGTACATGCAAAACTTATTCAGAATGTTTCAATGTTTTGTCATAAAGTTAGTTACTATAGGCGAATGTAGTACTACCAGTTCACTAGTACAACGACATCATTTCTATAGGAAAGGTCAACTGAACCAACATCGATGAATTCTAATTAAGCCTTAGTGATTAAGCAATATAATCAATTGAGATTTATAAAAATTTCGTGGATTAGATCATTAGAAGAGAATTTTGGAAAAAACTTATAACTGGTTTTAATAGTTGATGATAATAATAACTGACTTTGAAAGGTGGTCAAATGTTTAATACACAATTAGTAAAGAAATTATTCATCGAAGTATTTCCATTAGTTTTTTCTTAACACATCGTATGCTATTTTAATA